TTGGCCCCATTGCATTCACCTCCAATGCCCTTGACTGACCACATAATTTGACAATACTTTTCATTCGTAAACACAATAATTTCATATCTTATAAAATATATTCTCAGAAATCTACTAAGTATGGATTCCTAAAAACGTTTCCTCTTTTCTTATGAATACAAAAGATGAGTGTTCAACCTACTAATTTAGAAGCTGCAATTGTAGCACAGAGCATATATTTAGTACCATGTTCAACTCACTTGGGCGGTAGAATAGGCTTTAAGTGCAGGTTCTTTATGGTGCAGTGGTTTGTATAGCTCCATGTTTTTACTATAGAACAGTGGGTCAGGAGCTCTTTGGTACTGTAGTCCATATCATGATAAGGTTATGTATAACCAAAAAAAAATCACTCTCACCATATTTTCTGGTCAATGACATGGCACATAGTGACAGGAAGCTTTCCCTGGCTTCCCCATGTCTCTGGAAGATCACACTTTGAATGATACAAAGCGCCTTCATGTACAATGCAGGACTGCTGGTTCTGTATTGTATGAGATAAAGTCAGAGTGAAACCGCCAGGCAGAGCACCGAAGAGTAGTTCCAATTTTTCTTTGCAGTGACTCCTGTTCAGTGACATCTTTCCAATACTTCTTACTACTTTGCTCTACATGCTGACTCCCTTTTCTAGCTCCTCTGTTTAGGATGCAGGATCAGAGTAAACATATATTGCGTACTTTTTTTTCATATGTTTTTATTTAAGATTTTACAGGTCAACAGGGAAACAAGTAATCAAATTGTAAGGTACAAGTTCAACATAATTTGCTACTATAGGCATTTCCGTCAAGACCATGTATTGAAGGGGGTTCAGCTTTTTTACAATAATAAATATACAAAATATTCATCATACAGCAATACAGGATATTTTCTTGGCTAAAATGTTCTGGTGTCCCTCAGGCGTGATAACATGCTGTCAGGATTGAAATCGGTGTTTTGGAAGTCAAATCAACTGTTTTGGAAGTTTTGGAGCCTGATAGGAAGGAGAGTAGAGTAAAAACCAAATACATAGTTAGGATGGTGAAAACGAGCAATAGGAGAGTTGAAAGTAAAGTGGGGCAATAGATGGAGAGGAAGAAAAAGAATGTGCAGGAAAGCAAAGAGTATATTGCTAGGGGGTTGTTCTTGATGTGAGAATATTTTGTCAGTGATGCAAGGGCCAACAAAAGGATCAGTCAATGAAGGAAAGATTGGAGTTAAGTAGAATTTAGTGTTTTACTTGTTTCTATTGCTTAACAAACTATAGATATCCACATAGGAAGATCAGCTATTTCCCTGGCTTTGCCACAGATCACAAGGTAGCGTATTACTTCTGGGTCTGGCCTTGCTTGACTAGCTCAACCCAACACGTTTTATCACTGAACGACCTCCATAAGGATCGGTCTAGTCATACCATCTTTTCCCTTTTAAAGTTTTCGTGCAGAAAAAAAGCAAATTGTCTGCCAGTATTTTCTGATAACATGCTGCATTCATCTTGCCATCATTTTTCACAAGATTCCCCGTGCCTTTTTACAGCTCACACCCCCCAAAACATCAGATAGCTAGCACCAGGCTTCACACAGGGGATGACCTTCTTGTTGCTATAGGCCTTGTTGACCCCTCTCCAAACATATCGCTTATCATTGTGACTGGGGATGCACCGATACCGGTATTCTGATACCGAGTAGCGATAATTTTTTTCCGGTATTCACCGATACTAATTACCGAGTAACAGAAGTCCCATTCGGGAAGCCAGGTGGCGTGTAATGACTCGCCACTTGGCTTCCTGATTAGCCTGGGAAGCTGGGCAGCGTGTAAAGACTCGCCACCTGGCTTCCGGATTAACAAGAAAGTCCCCTCTTACCTTGGTATCTCCAGCCTGTAACCCCCGGGGCCTCTCCAGCCAGAACGCGACCTTCCTCCGGTCCCCAGCCGGAGCCGTCTGGCCGGCCAATCAGGAAGCCAGGCGCCGTGTAATGACTCAAAGCTCTGCTTTCTGATTGGCCGGGAGGCCGGCTCCATGCTCCCTCATCATGAGATGACGAGGGAGCATGAACCCTGCTTCCCGGGCAATCAGAATGCCGGGTGCTGCGTCATTACACGTTGCCCGGCTTCCTGATTGGCCGGGAAGTTGGCTCCATGCTCTCTCATCACAAGTGACGAAAGAGCATGTACCCACTTTCCGGCCAATCAGGAAACCGGGCAGCGTGTAATGACGCGCTGCCCGGCTTCCTGATACAGGAAGTACTCTTGCTAGTCATCGGAGCATTTTGGGCGAGTACGAGTACTGGCCCAAATACTCGGTATCGGCACCGATATCGATACCAGTATCGGTATTGGTGCATCCCTAGTTGTGACCCTAAAGCTTTTGGTCTCATCACTTCAAATTACAGTGTGCCATAAGCTGTAAGGCGTGTCATAGTGTTGTCAGGCATATTGTAACCGGGCTTTTTTGGCATTGGTGCAGTGAAAGCTTCTTTCTGGCAAATCGATAATACAGCTCATTTTTGTTCAAGTATCGTCGTATTGTGCTCCTTGAAACCACCACACCGTCTTTTTCCACGGCAGCCTGTATTTCTCCTGAGGTTACCTGTGGGGGTTTTTCTGTGTATTGCTGAACAATTCTTCTGGCAGCTGTGCTGCAATCTTTCTTGGTCTACCTGATCTTGGCTTGGTATCAAGAGATCCCCGAATTCTCCACTTCCTAATAAGTGATTGAACAGTACTTACTGGCATTTTCAAGGCTTTGGATATCTTTGTATATCCTTTCCCATCTTTAAAAAGTTCCATTACCTTGTTAAGCAGGTCTTTTGACAGTTCTTTTCTTATCCCTATGGCCAAGTATCTAGCCTGCTCAGTACATCCACATGAGAGCTAACAAACTCATTGACTATTTTTTAGAAATATACCAATACTGGAATCTGTATCGATGCCGAGTACTGGTCCAAATGCTCCGATATTTACCCCGATACTTGAACTTCCGGTCAGAGAGAGATTCCCTCTGAGTGGCAGTGCCGCAAGGAAGCATGGAGCTGGCTTTCCTGCAAATTAGGAAGCCGGGCAGCAGGTCATGACCGTGCCTCCTGGCTTCCTGATTGGCTAGGAAGCCAGTTTCACTTGTTGCTAGCAACCTGGCTTCCTGACCAGTCATGTGAAGCCTGTGTTCTTTCGATAGAACACTGGTTTCCCAGGCAATCAGGAAGCTGGGCCAACGGTACCCCGGGATGCCGGTATCAGTATTGGCGAGTACCGAAAAAAAAATATCGGCACTCATACTCAATGCTGAAAAACCAATATCGGTGCATCGCTACTATTTATAGGCCGACACTAATTGCAGTTTAAAAAGCCACAGATGTGGGAAATTAACCTTTTAATTGCCATTTTAACTTGTGTGTGTCTGTAACAAGGCCGAACATTCCATGTAAACTTTTGATCAGGGCCGTTTGGGGGATTTCTGTTGATCATTATGATTTTAAAAAGGAGTCAAACGGCTAAGTGATCACTATCCTTAAATTAAAAGACATTTTTGGTAGGGTTGCACAGATACCAAGTACAGTACTCGGTACAAGTATGAGTACCGATACTTTTGAGCTCCAAGACTAGACTAGAGAAAAATTTAAAAATTAGGAGGCAGCTGTCATTTGTAAGGCGCACACGGAGCTCCCGGGATTTGTACATCTCTGTTTTAATGTACGATTTTGTTTTTATAAATATAAATAAAGAGATGCACAGATACCAGTTTTGCGAGTACGAGTACTGGTACTTGCCGAGTACTTACAAGTACGAGTACTGATACATTTTTGTTTATTATCATGTGACAATTTTTCTAAAACAATACAGACTAATGATTTCAGGACAGTGGTGGAGTGCCAGAGCCAGGTCCCAGCTGCAACCGCTGCAACCCTGGTAGTTCTCATGAAAATGCCAAGTATCTGCACTGGTACTCGAAAAGTATCTGTGCATCCCTAATTTTTGGCATGATCAGTCATATTTTCAATAGCAATGCCAAAATGTCATGATTTCTGCCAGGGTATGCAAAGTTTTGAGCACAAGTGTATATATGAACTGGTACTATGGGTTCATGTGCACAACATCCCCAAAATGAATACCAAGCAACAATTGTTCTCACAAAATAATGGGACTTTTCAGGTGCTACCTCACAGGATCTAAAGCAGACTTCTTCTATTACAATAAAATCTGTCATGTTATTGTGTTCTGTATAAACATATATTAAAAACATAGTGATAGCAGTTGGGATATTTCATTTCTTAACAGCATGTATATCCACATGTATCACCCTTTTGACCCCTTATATATTTTATACATTAAAGTTTTATAGCGATGTTGTGCAATTTACAGCTGGGGTAGGGTGACTCTCCAGCGCATTTTGCAGTTACTATACCACTTCTTCAGGGCAAGATGGACAATACCAGCTTATTGAACATCCCTGTAATACCCATGCATGGTTTCCCAACCTGGCTACTACCCCAGGGGGAACTAAGAGGAGGAGTTGGGGGGACCAGAACATTACACAATGGCAGTAGTGAATTTGATTTATAGTCTATTATCTGGGATATTCCATATGAGCTAACCAATATAGTGTTCCAAGCATAGGTCTCAATTTCCTGCCACATGACATTTTCAAGCATCTATATTTCTCAGTACTCTTTCCCCTCCTCTTGGCACTGCTCCTGTGGCTTCCCGTCAGCCACACAACTAAAGGAGAGGGGAGAACCAGAGGGAGCTTAATCCCCCACTCTACTCCAGAGACTGCTCTTTTTGGTGTGTGGGTGATGGGACGCCATAGGAGCAGTGCCGGCAGGAGGTGAAGGAGTTTGCAAAGCACTTTGCAAAATATGGGAAGACCGTGCAGGTACTATACAATACAAAAAGATTAAAAGGACCCTGCTTGGGAAAGCTTACACTCAAGAAAACAGTATGCAAATAACCTTATTATTTCACTTATTCTTTGTTACTTTTTCTTCTAGACAGACAATGATTTTAAGCTCCTTGTGAAAAGGTTTTATGAATTACAAGCTGAACGTGTGGAGACGTATCATCTTTTTGATGAGTGAGTATATATATAATTTTAAGCGCATTGATTTAGTGCCTAAAGCTGACAGAAATCCGCTTGTCCAATAATTGCCAAGGGACTGCTGTGACATTTTATTGTATGTTTGCAATATGTATTTATCTACTATGCTCATCAGCTCCATCTAGTGGCCTTAATGCAGTATTACATCAGACCTTAATAGAAAATATACTAAGACATTTTTTTTTGGACATTATTCACACAGAATAAACGTTTAAAGAGATTTGCAGGGCCAAAACGGATTGTTTATAAATAGACCCCATAGTATGTAGACAGGCTCACGGGACTCAACGCAGGAGCATTGTTTTTCAAGGGTTAGCGGGGCAGTGATAGGCAAAGTTCTGTTTTTCAGCAGACAGGGCTGCAAACACTGGTTAAGATTTCAGTGCAGCAGAGGCACTGTGTTGAAGGAGCACACTGAATTTCTCACAGATTAACAGACATTTTTCATTATTTCTAGACCATAAAAGCATGTATTTGACAGATGTAGTATGTACAGATTTATTTTTTATTTTATTTCCCCCAACACTCTTTAAGAGCTATTAGCATAGCCCGATCTAATTATAATTTGTACAGGAATTTCAACCCATCTAACTAGGGATGCACAGATAGCGTTACCTGTATCGGTGCTGATACTGGGCATTTTCACCAGTACTTGTACTCGTACTCACGGCAGCCTGCTGAGAACCTTATTTACGGTGCCGGTCCAGCCACACATCTCTCCCTCCTCCTTCCTACCGCCCGCACAGCAATAGGAAGACCCTGCACAGCTCTGGTGAGATCTGCACATGTTCGCACAGGCATTGGGGACTCGGCACAGCTCTGGTGAGATCGCACCCACCTGCACAGCCCTGGTGAGCAACACAGAGTATGTAGCTTTGTATTAATTTGCATTGCTGCATAATGTATTGTGGGGATTTGTAGTCCTCTATAGCTGGTGGTAATTCTGCATTGCTGTATAATGTATTGCTGGGATTTGTAGTCTCTCTACAGCTTGGAGTCAGAGCTACCAGGGGCACAGCATTTGCAGCTGGGACTGGGCCCTGGCACTCCACCACTGTCCTAAAATCATTAGTCTGTACTGTTTTAGATAAACTGCCACATGACCCTAAAAAAAAGAAAAGTATCGGTAATTGGTATCAGTGAGTTCTTGAGGAAAAGTATCAGTACTCAGTCTGGAAAAAAAACAATCCGTGCATACCATTGAAAAGGGTATTAAAAACACAAAGTAGGAAAATGGAACAGAAATGGTGGAAACTGCTAAAAGTTAAGTAGAAAACTCCATGGAATGAAATGAAATGAAGAGAAAATAAAGAAAAGGAGGAGGAATGAAAAGGGAAGGGGAGACAAAAAGTATGGCATACCACGACATCCACTGACCTCGGTGAGTATAGTGTCCATATACAACCCTGCCACGAATGGGCCGTGAAGCCACCACATTAAAAGGGGAATTTACTTAAAGTGACACAACACTCCTTACAGTAATCTCCACATAGGGCATTCCCCTAATCTGCTTTTATTTATACAGTAAACTCTGTTATCTGGTATTCAACTAACTCGAACTCTCATCTAACCCAAAAAAAAATCCTGTGTGCTCACTGTTTTGCTGATCTGCGGCATGTATTATGCTGGAAATGATTGTGCGTCTATTTGTCTTAAGTGTGTTTATTTGTCTTAATTTGCTTTTGGTTACTGCATTTTAATATTAATATGAAGTAAATACAGAGTTTGTTATGGTGTGGTATAGTATGGGGTATGGCATTAGTTAGACGTATTTTTAATAGTAACTCTCAAGCAACCATAAACTACATTTATCCAGAATCTACCAATCCCCATTGATGCCTGATAACGGGGAGTTTACTGTATTTGCAAAATAGAATCTGACCGTTTTTTTCCTGTTTTTAAAAGTATTCAGCACGCTCCCACGCACCTCCTCTTCCCTTCCACTTTCTGTCTCTATTTCTGAGAAGTGCACGCTAATTTTGTACACGCGCACTGCTGACTCTGGCTAGATCCCCCATAATGCAGCATACACCGTCTCTCTAACATGCTGGTTCCTCCCCCTTCCCTCCTACTCAACATAGCTGCTGAGTGCACCACTCTCCTCGATTCCTACCAGCTATGAACACATTACAAAAACGTATCCACGTGCCTTCCAAAGCTCACAGTGTGCAGAGTCTAGAAGATGGGAGGGACTGAGAGGAAGGATCTGCAGAGGAGACATGAGGGCACTTCATGCGTCCTGCCGTGTTGTAGTTCTCATTGAGAGTGAGCACAGAGGGTGGCTACTTTTCAGCACCCATAGGGACCATGAAGAAGAAAAGTAGACCACCATCAAGCAGAAAGTTGTGAAACAGGAAAAAAAATGTTTTTTGAAGCAGTTAAAAGGTGAATATTGAAAAATGAAGGTAATTCCATAGTTATTGCTTATATAATAGAGCTGAATTTTAGTATTTAACGTCTGAGTTTAGTGTTGCTTTTATAAATTGTCTTTAATAGAGCCAAGAGGTCTATTGCTGTCTATATTGCTCTGTCCTGTCCAGGGAAATCGCTTTAGCCTCTTCTATCTTAATTATGGATTTATTCATTTAATGAATGGAAAGGGAATTTTTATATGCACCTGTGGATTCTGGTGAATCATGTAAAAGATAGCGACAGGCAAGCCAGCCTTTTAATTATGATCTCCATTAAAGCACTGTGACATGTTTCAGGAATTAATTGGAGATAGATTAATCTGCCTTTAGTAAAAAGGGCCACTGTGAGAAGAATGGAACACCCATTCCAGTATGGTAAAGTGCTGTATTTCGTTTGATTGCTGATTGGATACTTGCACATTGCTAATGCTTTATTAAAAAGTATACTGGTGTTTCAGTTACAGGAGAATATTGTTTGGCTAAACCACCAACTTTCTTTTTGCATATGTAACAGATTAAGGAGATCCTTTCACAATGGCCACTGCATTCAGTTTGAATTATTTTAGACTGTAAAATTACATATCTGTATCTCATACTTCGAAAAGGTACATATGTGTCTATCCCTGATGCTTAGAGCGATGTCAAATTTAGGAGAAACTTTATGCAGTTGCTTAATTACAACCATGAAAGCAAACATGAGAAGAAGATAAAAAGCAGCATTTTGTGATTTTTGGTTCCCCCCTATATCTGTTTAATGTCCACAGTGTTTGTGCCAACTTTCATTTTCCTGTTGTTATCTTTAAAGAAATGTCACCTATTGAAATTTGGTCATGCAGAGATCATTAGCATTGCACTTTTCCTGACATGAGTGCGTCTGGAATAATGTATACAATTTGATTATAACTTGGATACATTTACATACGTCCTTCTTTGAAATCAAATACATGTTGTTTAATTTTTTTCAGTGTTCACCTCATCTGGTGTTCATCAACAATCTAACATAATGCTTTTCTTCTTGTTATGCCTATTTAAACTTCTTTTTTTCCACTTTTGTAAAGAATAACAGAACTAAAGAACTCCTGATTTTAATTTCAGTTGCTTACTGGAAGCTTGTTCTTTCCAGTATACCTATAGCACAAGAGCACACACTCCCCCCCCATATGGTGCTGAGCAGGGACCCTGATGTAGAAGAGATTTGGGTTTATGCCTTCTCAAATATAAATCTTTCCCGATCCCCTAAGGATATTTGATATTCCCTGGATCAACAATCACTGGTGTTATTACTTACAAATTTTAATAGCTATTTATATACTTTGCATTTAGAAACACAACCAGCTTTTTTTAAAACTATGTTGGCTAGAGCTAGTTCCCGAGAGCCTATTCCATTTTTTCACAGCTATTACTGTGAAGAAGACTTTCCTTATGCTGAAATAAACCTTAATTCCTCTGGCTGCAAAGAGTACCACCTTGTCCTTTGCATATAGTAAAGTTTACTATATGGGCCATTTTTGTATTTATACATGGTGGTCATATCCCCTCTGAAATGCCTCTTCTCCAGAGAGAATACATTGAGTTGAGCTATTCTTTCCTTATAGCTGAGCTCTTGCATGCCACTTAATAATGTACTGGCCCTTCTCTGTACTATTTCTAGTTCTGCAACATCCTATTTGTGAACTGGTGCCCAAAACTGAACTGCATATTTCAGATAAGGTCTTAATAATGTTTTGTATAGTGGCAGGATTATGTCTCTCTGGATCAATTTAATGTAAGAAAGTATTTTTCTTGATTCATAAGATGCATTTTGGCATTGCATGATATTAGTAAGTCTATGGTCTACCAGAACACCAAGATCCTTCTTGATAATTGACTCCTCTTGGTGTGTATGATATATACATGTTAGACCCCAAGTTATCAACATAAACCTCATTTGCCACATAGATGCCCAATCAAACAATGCATTCAGGTCTCTTTATAAGTTAGAGACAGGTTGTAGGGACTTTATTTCACTGCATAGCTTAGTGTGATCTGCAAACACATGAATAGTACTTCCCAAACTCTATATCAATTATAAATAGATAAAATAGTAATAGTCCTGAAACTGAAGTTTGGAGTACACCATTAAAAACTGGTAGGGGACATTTTTAAAAGTAGGTCTGGTTATAATACAGCATGGATTTAATACAGGGTATGTTCACTCTCTTATAAAGTATAGGACCCCCACCTCCTAACCTAAACTCTTCCCCCACCCAAGCTCCTTACCTGAGTAGGACAGTCTTTTAAGTTCCTTTAAGAAGAACACTATAACATAATATTTTTTATATTAAATCCTTTACCCTGATGATCAATGTTCTTATGACAGCGTGTCTTTTGTACAGATGTCGCATAAGAAATCCTCTAACCTCACTGCATCACAGAGACCAGTTAGCATTTATGTGGATATGACCATGGATAAAGAACAGCTTAATTGTCTCTACACTGACTACAGTTGAGAACAACCCACTTCTTTCCTCAGAAGTATTCCTCCAATTTAATGAGACCATCTGTACCCACATAATACTAAATCCT